AGTTTTATATAAAATATTTTCATTCAATGATTATTAGGGTTTATAGACATTGTTAATAGACGTTATAGTTATTTATTATTGCATGACTTTCTATAATAATGTATTTTAATTGAGTGTTTGATTTATTTAATATAATTGTCTAACATATGTACTGAATGTCCCATTTAGGCGGACGCGGAGGTTTTGGAGGTCCGGGTGATCATTATGGACAACAAGGTATGTGTGGACAACAAGTCGTGTCAATTGCTATTTTATGGCTAATATTTTTGTTTATTTATACAATAGACATGAATCAGGACACAGTCTTTATCTCAGGACTTCCCGATGACATTAGTGAAGACCAATTGGCTTCTCATTACGGCTCTATTGGAATGATTAAGGTATGAGACATTTGGCGGTGAAATGTGAGGACATTGTGTTAAATAGCGATTTGTTGTCTTCTAATAGATTGACAAAAAGACGGGTAAACCCAAGATTTGGATCTATAGAGACAAAGCTTCGGGTAAAGGCAAGGGTGAGGCCACTCTCACTTATGAAGACCCAGAGGCCGCCAAATCGGCTATTAATTGGTTCAACGGTTTGTTTTTCAATTGTATAATATTTCCAACTTTTTATAAATTATTTGCATTTATAGCCAAAGAGTTTCCAACTGGTAGTGGAAAGTATGTGAAAGTGGAGTTCGCGCAGCGAAAGTCTAGTGGCGGTGACCGTGGCTTTGGAGGCGGCGGTGGATTTCGCGGAGGCCGAGGCGGTGATCGCGGCGGCGGTGGAAGCCGTGGTGGCGGACCCGGTGGTCCCCGCGGCGGCTCATCCGATAATGGCGGTCGTCAGGGAGACTGGAGGTATGATTCGATGATTATATGATTTTGAATGTTGTAGTTATGAATGGGTGTTGTGTTTGTGTCTTCAGATGCCCGGATCCGAACTGCAATAACAACAACTTTTCGTGGCGTAATGAATGCAATCGATGCAAAGCTCCCCGACCTTCGGACGGCGGACCGCCCGGTCTTATGA